TCAACGGATCCCACTGAGAGCCCCAAGGATCCCTACGGATGCCTGGGAGCAAACACTCATGTCCCATTGCTGGTGATTGTTCGGGTAAAGTGGCGTCTACTAAGTGAAAGAAGAAAGGTTTTAGTATTTTTGTATTTTAGGGAAGGGTCTACAGGGTGTTCAGAGCATCACTACTAGATCAGACTCCTAGTGATCCGCATATTTACAGCCTCCCAAGAGCTGGGATTACAGGAGTGTGCCACCATGCCCAGTCTCAATTAATGTCTCAGGGTGCCCTGGGGGCAGGGCCAGCACAGAAGGCCCAGGGATCAACCCCCTCCAACCCCCAGCCCCTGAGCCTTCTTGCAGAAGCTTTAATCCACTGAGTTATTTGGCCAGCCCTGAAAGTTTTTAAATTTAAAAACTGAAATAATATTAAAATGATGGCTGGCTTTGGGGAAGTCACTGGATTTGCACAATTCTAAGAGTGAAAGCACACCAGAACATCTTTAGATCACCCAGTCCTGAAGGGAACATGACTAAGCCCTAAATGCTTCCATGAGCAAATAGATTAAAATGTGCTCCTGTTGACATTCAGCATAATATGGAGTGAAAAGAGGCAAAAAGATTCCTATAATGTTGCTTTTGAAATTACATGTCTCAGTAACTCACTTAATTCACAATTCATTCTCCCTTTTTATCCAAAAATCTGTGCATAATTGGGAATTCTTGAAAAGTGAAGAAATCAAATCCACAGATTACTCTCAAATGTGTGAAAGGCTGCGTGAACGCTGAAGTTAACACTTCGCACGACGCTGGCACGTTACACTTGTATGCATTTCATTAAACAGCTATGTTCCCTTTTGTGTTTAGGTTCTTGCATTTTGGAGCCAATAATAATTCTCAGATATTGTCTCTGACCAGAGGTATCTCTTAACATTGTGAATTTAGGCAATCGACAGGCCCAGCGATGTGTCCAAACATTTAAGGCACTTAGTTTTTCTGCCTAAAGTGCCCCAGCCAGAGCAGTGTTTTTGCATTTTCATCTTTTTAGGATCAAACAGTGCTCATTTCCTCCCATCTTCTCCCCACTTCCTCATCTTCCCCCCACTTCCTAACCCTCCCCCTACCTCCTCTTCTTCCTCCTTCTTTTTTAATATTTTCTTTCTTTGATTCTCTAGGTGAACATTATGCTATTTTGTTGGCTGTTAGAGAGAAAAATAAGCTCTCTGGGATTTTGGTTGCAATCAGTTAATTTCTTAAATTCATTTGGATGTTACTTACATCTTTACAATATTGAGTTGTCACTCGGAAATGCTGTAAGTCTATTCAAGTCTTCTTTTCCATTCCTCATTTAAAAATTTGGGGTTTTGCTCATTTCTTTAGTGCTGAGAATAAAATCCAGGGTCTTCTGCTTGCTGCACCTCCAGCCCTGTGTTTTCTTTGCAGAATCTTGTATAGCTCTCATTAAATTTCTAAGAATATTCTTTTGTAGCTGCCAATACAAATGGATACATTTTTCTTTTATGTTTATTTTTAATTACATAACTAATATACATACTCACTGAAGAGAAATAAAAAATACAGGACAATATGAACAAACAATGATGTAAAGACAAGAAAAGGAAAAAACTACTGAAAACAACTCATCCCTATCCCGTGCCTTCCTGTCTGTGGAGGTCTCGACAACATCCTTCATTCATGCCCCCAACACACACTCTCCGCTCTGCATTTGGCCCTGCGCACATCACTTATCATTAATACTACTCCATGTCTGTGCACGTAAATCAGCCTCATTCTAATGACAGAGTACCACATAAAATTCAAAGCGTTGTAATTAATCATTCTCCTAGATTTTCATAGCACATGATCACAGCATCTGCTACAATGTTAAAAAAAAAAAAAAAAAAAAGGAAGGGGGAAAGAAAAAAACCTTAATTTTCTTCCCTTTTTTTCAATATGAGAGCATCTAAAACAATGTTACATGATTGAAGTGACAGCAGAACACTTGTTGAGTGTGTAAGAAGATCATCTTTACCAGAAGTGTTATCTGTTGAGTTCTTAATTTTTGTATCATGTTAATAAAGTGGCTTTGTAAGCTAATAGTATTTTTTAAAGGGTGGATGTTGAAATCTGCAATGCCAGGCTGGCATTTATTACAATGACTTTCTTCTCTTATGGCATCTTCATAGAACTAAATTTACTAATAGATTTCCAAATATTACACCATTGTAATTTATTATCAAGGTGAATTATTCACTTAAAGTCATTTGTTTAACTTAAAGAATATGCTGATTATGATGTCACTGTAAAATGGAAAGGACTTACATTCCTGGCCACTGTTTGAAAGAGAATTTTCCAGGAGAGCCAGGAGATTGTGTGAACTAAGTTAAATTGAATATTGTTTCCCTTAAGATTTTTATATGTGAAATTACAGTGTCAGGCATGGTGGTGCATGCCTATAATTCCAGGCCTCAGGAGGCTGAGGCAGGAGGATTGCCCTGAGTTCAAGGCCAACCTGAACCACAAAGCAAGACCCTGTCTCAAAAAAAAAAAAAGATTGCCCTATTTCTTTTTTTTTTTTTTTGTATTTTTAGGGAAGGGTCTATAGGGTGTTCAGGGTCTCATTCTACTAGATCAGACTCATAGTGATCTGCCCATTAACAGACTCCCAAGAGCTGGGATTACAGGCGCGCACCACCACACTCAGTCTCTATTGCCATCTCAGTGCGGGATCGAACCCCCGACCCCTGCTCCTGCTTGCAGGCACTTTAATCTGTTGATCGGTTTGGCTGGCCCTTCTTTTCTTCTTCCTTTGTTTGCCATTAAGTTATTTATTAAGACCTGTTCTTAGCTTATTTCCAAACACCCTTTTAATTGTCAGCATGAGCACAACTGGTTTGACGTTCATCAAAGTAATTTCCTCTTCCTGGACACTTCATTTCCAGTCCCTTGCGATGTGAGGAGTCCAGTGCCCAGTCCCCAGTGGAGCTCAGTAAGTGGAGGTTGTGATGCATTTAAGAGCAGGGGCAAGGGACGCGGCTCTTTTATATCCCCCTTTTGACCTTGGGGGCCCCTGGTGGAGCTTCAAGACATAAAGAGCATAGGCCAGTGGACATAGCTCAGTGGCAAGTACAAGGTCCCAAGTTCGATCCCCCACATTAAAAAAAAAAAAAAAAGAAAGAAAAAAAAGAGTATAGACTTGGGAATCTCCCAGGAGAGAGGGAGATCGTGCACCCAGCACTAGGCTGGCCTGTGTGTCAGAATAATATTTGATATTGTGATACCAGCGGTCGAACTCAGGCCTATACCTGGCTAAGCCGATAGCATTTCTCTCCTGATAGGCTTCTTTTTTCCCTCCTTTTAAGCAGGTGGCACTTCAGAAGGAGGGTAAAACAGGACAGAAATCAAAAGGTATCTGTTGGTTTTCAGCAACCTAAATCCATTAGATGATTAACCTAAATCCAGTCGATTTTACCTCTGAGGCAAAAGGATCTCATGTATCAGGGTAGTCTGGGCAAATCAGAGTCTTGTCAGGACCTTCTCTCACAAATAAAATAGGGCTGGAGAGACAGCTCAGTGGTCTAAGGTCCTGCCTAGCAAGTGCAAGGACGAGGGTTCAATGTAGAGTTGCCCCGGAAGGGCTCACCTGGCCAGCTGCAGAAACCAGGGTGGCTCACGTCTGCAATCCAGCTCTGGGGAAGCTCAGACAGGAGGGTCACTACGAGACCGAGTTATGTAGCGAGACTTTGCACCAAATAAATAAATTTTTAGAAAATTAAATAATAATAATAATAATAATAATAAGCAAAAGGATCCAGAGATGTAGCTCAGTGCGAAGGCCCTGGGTTCAACCCCTGGGGTGGGAACTGGGGAGCTGGGCTTCCCTGGGAGGCAATGAACAGAGAGCTCTTGGGACTCAGCCTGCACCATGCTCCACATGAGACAGGGGAAGGGGGAACCCAGAGAAGGTGACAGAGAAGGTAACTCACTGCAAGGCACCAAATGAAACAGCAAAACCAGTTTCCAGACATGAGAGGACACAGGCGCAGAAGAAGATGTCGTCCACCCGGATGGGCCTCCAGGTGTAGACCAACCTGCTCCTGCCCTACCCCTGCCGCCGCCATTCAATAGCCAGGCTCGATGCGCCTTACTATACACCGAGCAAACAGGATTCCAGAAGCAGTCTCTCCTGCAAGCACTGGCATCCCTTGTTCCCCCAAATTGAGCTGCCACCTCCGGGGCAAGGGCAGGAAGCCCCTGACTGGGCCAGGCTCTCTGCATAAACAAGGAAAGAAGCGTGCCCCTTTGCGAAGTTCAGCATGGCTGTTGCTTTCTCTACTGTTGCCCCGCCGGGTCTGTGTCTCTGGGACACTCAGATGCAGAAGCAGCATCGCAGGCGCAGGGGCTCAGGGTAGCATGGGAGTGGTGCGGAGTGGGGGTTTCCTTGTGGCCTGTGCTGCGGCCCCCAGCCTGGACAGAAGCGACGGGGCGTGTGTTACAGACGATTCTGGAGCGGAGGTTCCGCACAGTAGGCAGGGATAGGCAAGACCAAGGTGGGGGGCATCGAGGCTGTCTCCGGTTCCTCCTTCCGAGCCGGGATTCAAGTGCGGGTGAGCACGGCCAGCAGAGGGCGCCAGAGGACCGGCAACGAGGTGGGGTGGGCGTGCTAAGCTCGGGACGCCCCCGGGGCACCCCAGACCCCGGAGCTAGGCGAGCGGCGAGCGCCGGGCCCGCAGTCAGGTGAGGTCCCCGCTTGGTCCAGCTCGAGTTGAGACCCCGGCAACCGCCGCAGCCACGGCCTCGCTTTTACCTGCAAGCTGATTCGGCGCGCTGATGGGATCGAGGAGGGCGGTCATTGTTAATAAACCGTTTATGGGGACGCATGTACCTGTCTGTGTTTAGGCATTTCCTCTCGCTTTTTCCATTTCTTTTCATTATTTCTTTTTCTCTCTTTTCTGTCCTTTCTTCCGTCCCTTTCCCTACAGTTCAAAAAGGGAGAGAAAATGTAACAGCTCAGCCCCGCGGGACCCGCGCCCGGGTCTCGCGGGAGGAAAAGCTGGAGCTGAGCCAGCGCAGCCGCGCGGGCAGCTGAGAGCAGAGGTCAGAGGGCGAAGCCAGGTTCCAGGAGTTGCCCATAGAACTAGGCAATCTGTTGCCAGGTAACCACATCTCCCACCACCACCCCAACTCGAGGTGCTGAGCCGCCCACCCTGGGCCTCTAGTTGGCATCTGCTGAGTCTCTCAAACACCTACCCTCTGTGAGGCTCTGAAAGCAAAAAGAGAGGAAAGCAAGAGCGCACTCCAACCCCACTCCCCAGGGGTTCTGTCACCCACTGCTCACTGGGAAGACTCCGCAAGGGCGGGTAGCTCACCGCCACCATGAGTCTGGGCATCATGGAAGAGGAAGACCTGGTGGAGTACTTCCGGCTGCAGTATGGGGAGCGGCTGCTGCAACTGCTGCAGTGAGTGTCTGCGGGCATAGTCTGCCCCAGGGACAGGGATCTTCGCCCGCCCCATGCCTTATCTTCTAACCTATCCCCTTGGTTCCACCCTCCCAATCTCCCTGCCCCAGCTCCAACCCCTGCTCCGGTCCCTATCACCCACCCCTCACCTGCTACCCTGACACCAGCAAGTCCTTCTCTATACATCTTCCTTTGGCCCAGGTTGGGGAGAGGAGCCCTTTCCTTCCACGCGTTGCTTCCTGCCCCAGCCTCATAACCCACTAGTTTCTCTTGCCCTTATCTCCGGCAGGAAGTTCCCCACTGTTGATGAGCAGTCAGAATCCCCATCCATCCGGCTCCTGGAGAAGAAGAAGGAGGCCGTAGTCATGCATCAGGCCTTGGAAGAAAAGAAGGAGGTGAGATGGCAGAGCTCAGGGATGGGAGCCAGGGTGCAGGATAGGAGTGGAGCTGTCTGGGGCTCGGAGACATCCCCTGGCTGTGGGTGGGAGTAGCTAGAGCAGGCGTTCTGGCCAGCGGTTCTGGCCTCCTTCCTCTGGGGACGACAGAAAAGACCAATCTTGGGATATCCATGTTCTGGGATGCTGTAATCGAGTGGGTACAGGGGCAGAGTGGGAGGCCTCCCTGCACCTAAGGGTAGAGACTTTGGAATAGGGGCTGCTGGGGTCTTCTGGGTGCCCATGTCAGGGGGTTTCCTGACCTCTTTCCTCCTGCACCCTGAAGACATTTAAGCGCAGAATGGAAGCCCTGAAGCTGCGCTGGGAGGAACTGGGCATCAAGGAAGAGCAGCTGAAAGCCCACATCCAGAAATTTGAACAGTTCATCCAGGTATGAAGGGGGTGGCTGCAGCGGGCCAGAGGAGCCAAACTGCAGACCCACAGGGCATCCCTCCTGCTGTTCCTCCTTCTCTTCTTCCTCCTTCTCTTCCTCCTCTTCTTCTTCCTTCTCCTCCTCCTCCTCCTCCTCTTTCTCCACACTTTTGCAGGCTTCTCACTGGGTTTAAAGTATTCTCAGCGTTCCAGTTATGCTTGTGCTTCTCCCCACATCGGGTTGCTTGCAATTTCCTGTTTACCCTTGGTCTCTGCCCCTCCCCGTGGCTCTTTTCTTTCTCCTTGCCATACAGTTTATTCAGGCAGTGGATGCATGGATGGATGCATGAATGCACGGAGGCATGCATACATGGAGCTGCCTGGCCTGGATAAGCACTTGGGGGTACAGTGAATCAAAGGAGGTTTAGTCTCCCATACACTCTACTTTTTTCCCCATGAACCAAAGGTGGGGACTGATGAAGGACTGCCCAATAGATAATATTCCAAGACAACCCTCCCCATCGGTCCTTAGAGAAACAGTTGTGTGTCCGTGTGTGTCCGTGTGTGTGTGTGTGTGTGTGTGTGTGTGTGTGTGTGTGTGTGTGTGTGTTGCTGTGGACTGAGCCCAGGGCCTTCACACTGAGCTACACTACTAGACCTTTTTAAATTTTTATTTTGACACAGAAGCTTCCTAATTTTTGTAGGCTGGGCTTAAACTTGTAATCCTCCTGCCTCAGCATCTCGAGATTTAATCATCTGAGAATCCAGATATAGCTGGATCTCCTTCTGTCCTGGCCCAGCTTCATGAGACCTAGTTGCTGCCCTCTCCTTTCTCCTGCTCTTAAGTCACTTTGTCACACTCTGTCCCTAACTATGCAGGACTGGAATTGACAGGCTGAGCCCATTCTCCTGAGATCTAGTCCATTTTAGTAGCCAGAGAAAAACTGGTGGAGTGGTTGGGGTAGCAGGAGACTTCAGGTGGAGTGTCCAACTGGTTTTCTGAGGGTCAGAGCTTGTCGCAAATACAAGAGTGCAGCAACTCCTCTCTCTTTGCTTTCAGCAGGTCTGGGGGTTGGGCCCAGGCTCCTACAGTGTTGTTAAAGCTCCCCAAGGTGATTTTAATTCCCAGGTGGATTTGCACACCATTAGTTTAAGGCTCCTGTCTCCCCCTGTGCTTACGCGGCAAAGCAGCACAGATCCTCCATGCACCTACCTCTGTGTCCTCCAAGTGCTGCCATCACGCCTGCGCATGCGTGGAGAGTCACAGCAGCCCTTGTGAGGAGAAGAAATGGGGCACAGGAGCGCAGTCAAGGAGTGGGCTTTGCAGATGAAAGAAGGTGGGCTTAGGCTGACTGCAGGGGCTGAGCCTCCTTCTTCCTTTCTGGGCATGGTATCGCCCGAACCATGTCCTCTAGCCCCAGCTGATGCTAGTCGGAGCTCCTAGGAACATGTCTCCTCACTGTGTAGCTAATCACCACTGACTATAGCTTTCCAGGAAGAAAGAGGCTACTGTTTCACATTTCTAAGGTTGGAGAAATTGAGGCACTGAGTACCAAATCAAGAGAAAATTTGAGCTTCCCAACCCTGGCCCAGCCATCTACCCCATGACAAATGGCTACCACTCAGAACAGAAACAATGCAAGCTCTGTCAGAAGGGCTCCAGCTCCCACTTCTGGACTTTCTCAGCCTTCCCCAGTGTTGAGTTCCTTCCAGGCAGTGAGCCTGCTGCAATATGGGTTTACTGTATCCTTTTACTCCTGGGTTCTCCCTTGCCTGCTCTCTGAAGTCCAGAGCCCAAATCCACAGAATCTGAATCATTTCCTGTCTGCCCACCATAAGGCCATGTCTTGACTTTGAACTAAACCTCTGTTCTCACAGGCTCCTGAGCTGTAGCTCAGTTCACAGAAATCCCCTGGCTTCAAGAACTAGCTTCAGATAACCAAAACCTAGCTTCAGATCACCCTCGAAGTCTTTTCCGTCCACACCTCTTCTCCAACATGGGGGAACTAGCAAGATCTTGGTTCAGCAGAAAGAAGGGTTGAGGCCCCCAGCCAGCAGAAACCCCAGGGAGGGCAAGGCAAGACTGCTTGACCCTCACCATCTCTCTCATCCCAGGAGAACGACCAGAAGCGGATCCGCGCCCTGAAGAAAGCCAATAAAGAGCGGGAACTCAAGCGGCATCACCTGCGGGAGCTGGCCAACGCCAAGCAGGACATGGCGGCCCTGCGGCTGGAGCACCAGCGGCTGAACACCAAGCTGCAGGACTACTCCATCTTCAACAAGTACCTGGAGAAGGTGGTGGAGAACTCCGAGGTGGGCCCCACCTCGGCACCCTCCCCATCACCCTCCTCCCCGGGGCCTGGGCTGTGGGCTGGTGCTTGGAGTCCTGGCCGCAGTGGTGGTCACACAGGAGCACAGTTAGTAAAGCCCCCGAGTCTTAGGGGCTGTGTATCATCATGGGTCTCTGTGCCTGACGACCAGGTAAAAGACTCCATAGGGTTTGTGTGCGCATGTCTCCATATGTGTCCATGGCTGTGTCTGTCTGAAGAAATGTGTGCATGTGTGTGCGTGTGTGCGTGTGTGTGTGTGTGTGTGTGTGTATGTGTGTGTGTGTTGGGGCATGTGGTTTTGGAGCGCCAGCGTTAAGCTGTGCCTGCATCATCATGTGGTCCACATTCATCCCTACCTCCCCCTCCTTCCTGGTGTCTTCTGTTTGAGAATAAACTGCAGAGAGATGCACCCAACCCACCCCGGAGCTGGGCGGGCCACCTCATTAGCTGGCCAGGGAAAGTGTCCCTGTTAGCCTTTACACAGGACTCTGAGGCCGAGGAGGTTAGGAAACCTGCACAAGTCCTCAAGCCCGGGAGTGGAAGAGCCTGTGACTTTCACCTCTCCTCTTTGGTCCCCAGCGCTCGCCCGAGACACCCACTTTCCTGCTGCCCCATGGGCAGAGCCTGGGGAACCTCGCAGCCCTCTTCCCAGCCAAGCCTCCTACAGCACAGAGGCTCTCCGTTTTTCCTTTGACTGTGATGTGACCGCATCAGTGATTGTCCCCTCCTCTCCCATGGGGCCAGCAATAGGGGCTTGCCCAGGTCAGTGTCCTGTGAGGGCTCACAGGCAGACAAAGGGCACACAGCTTTTTCAAGCCCCTGTACTGTCTAGGTAGAAACACTAATATAATTCATTTATGCATGAATCTCAAATCTGTGTCACCGCCTCCCCTCTCAGGCCCTATTACCGTAAGATAAACTGTTCACTTGATGATTAGAGGAGGGTTTTTTGTTTTGTTTTTTTTTTTTGCTGGGATGGAGCAAAGACCAACATATTAAAGCAGCAGATAAACTGCAAGGCATGCCTTGAAATCGGAGCTGGTAAAATCATTTTCTAAGCTTCAGCCCCTTGTACCTAACTGACCTTGTCCACAACACCTCCGCTTCCTGCCACCCCCAGGCCAAGTCTGCTGCTGGTGTGTCCCAGGCAGCTAAGTAACACGACCACCCACCCAAAGCCCTGCCCAAACCCGGAAGCTCGTGGTCGACTCCTCCCCCAGCTCAGTTCCACAGCCATCCATCAGCAGAGCTGGTCAATTCTGCCTCCTAGGTATTTCTGGCATCCAGCCCCTGCCTCTTAGCTACTGATCCTCATCTGGGGTTCAACTCTATGTCATTCCCAGTCAGACTACTCAAATCCTACAGCCTTCCTGGTATCTCTCTGTGTGTCTGTCTCTCTCATTTTATTTTATTCAAAATATTTTAAACATGCTGGAAAGTACAGAGAAACACACTACCCGAGGGAGCTTACCACACAGCTTTGTCAAATCTTAATATTTTCCCAATTTTTTTTCTTAAGTGAAACATTGCTGGGTAGGCAGAGGATAGAGCTCAGCAGCGCCGCACCGGCCTAGCAGGCACAAGATCCTGAGTTCAATTCCAGATACAAAACAAACCTACTGGTAATTAGGTTATATGTCCTTCCAAATCTCATTTTTCCTCCCCTCTCCTTGAGAAAACTAGTATCCTGATTTTTTTCTTTTCTTTTTGGTTCCGGGGATCATATCAGGACCTTAGGCTTGCCAGGCAGGTGCTAATGTTGCTGAGCTATCTCCCCGGCCCTGTATCCTGATTTTTAACTCTATATATTTCATGCCTGTTTTTAGTAGTTTGAGACCTGCCCATAAACTATGAGTCATATCACACATACCCTTCTGTTACCTGCTTTTTTGCAATAATGTTAAGTATAGGTTTATATTTGATGGCGACATAATAATTTACATATTTGTGGAGTCCAGCGTGACACTTCAGTCTATGTATGCAATTTATATTGCTTATGACGTGATTATTGTTGTCAACCATAGCTATCTTACTCTGCTTCAGAACCTGAGAAATTACTCTTTCTGCGCAACTGTCCTATGTCAATCAATATTTTTAAGAAACTATATATTTTGGACAACTTTTAACAGAAATAGAGAAAATAGTCCATTGGGCACCCATTACCTATTAAGTAATTCCACAGTAATCTTAGTCATAGCCCCGCCTCTTCCTACTAACACTTTTTTGAAACAGATAATATTTTTATCACCTATATGTATGTCAGTTTTTATCTCTAGAATATGAAAACTCCATTTACTATAACAATACCATTGTTGTATGTTACCTATTAAAATTTGATCACTGTCCCTTAGTATCAGCTGTCCAGGCGCTTATTGCTATAATGCTTTTTGTACATATGGTTTGTTCTAATCAAGGTCTAAAGTAGTTTCTCATACTATGAGTGTTTAAGTGTCACAGACCTTATTCAGAGGCATTATTCTAAATGAAAGGATATGCTGTATGATTCCATTGATATGCTTAAAGGCAGGTTAAAAAGGAGAATCTCTTCTTTGTCATCTACTTAAAGAAAGAGCTGATTAAGTGCTTTCTTCTTTTTATTCTTTAATGCTTGCGTCTTTATGGTGTCCAGAATAATGAACTGGTTTTCCATCCAGTCTCCAAAAATGACATTTAATTATTAGCATTGTTGTGGGATTTTTATTATAGCTAGTATCTTTTAGTGTTAATATTATTATTTTTTTGTACCGGGGATTGAACTCAGGACCTTGCACTCGCCAGGGAGGCACTAATACCGCTGAGCCATCTCCCCAGCCCAGTGTTATTCTTACTGATGTTCAGATCCGCCCCTCTTTGGACAGCTGGACCCGCTTTAATTCAGCCCATGAGTCCTTTGCACATGAGAATGAGATTTCCTGATTCCTCCCTGGGAGCTCTGACGTAGCCCATTCACTAACTCTCGGTGCTGTTGCATTATGCACCTGGAAAACTTTAGGAAATAGGGAAATGGAGTTATTTCCCCATTAGTAACAAAGTTCACACTCTTTCTGTAGCTCACTAGGCAGCTGTTCCCCACCCCTGTACTAGGGATTAAGCCTGGAAAGCACTGTACTACACCTTCAGCTCTTTGATTTATTTTTATTTTGAGACAGTTTTGACAAGTCACCCAGACAGCCTCACTCACCCAAGTAGCTGGGATTTTGGGCTTCTGCTGCCATGGATGACTGACTTTGTTTTTTTGTTTGTTTGTTTGTTTGTTTGTTTGTTTGTTTGTTTTTAAGTTCTCTAGACCCATCTCTTGCTCCCTCTCTGGAGCTCAGGCCATCTATACTACAGTACCTTGAGCACCCTGAACACGCTGCCCGCTGCCTCACATGTCTTTCCCCAGGCTGTGCCCTCTCCCTAGATCCCCGCCTCACTTTCCCCACCTGCTTTTGCCTGGCTATCTTCCACTCAGACCTCTAGTCTCATGTCTATCACCTTTTCTCCCAGGGAACTTTTTCTGACCAGTCTTGCCTCCTCCCATCCTGGTTTGGGTGGTCCTTTCCTGAGAGGCAGATGTTGGAAAAGGCCACCAGGGGAGTTACCAGGACACTAACCTCTCACTGGAAATGTCATGAGGTGGAGAAAGTGTTTGGGAGTGTCTCTCGCAGTGGCTGGGAGGCAAATTGGTCTCAGGGAACTGGAGATCAGGACCCTGCCTAAAGTGAGTGGGTTGCTCGGCCTTTGTTCTATTTGGGGGGAGTCTGCCCTTTAGGGCCAGAGTGGCCTGGACCAAGATGGAAAAGGTGATCTGAGCCTGGTGGGCCACCTCCCACCCAGGGTTGCCCCTTTCATGCCCAGCTTCACCCCCAGAAAATTAGTAACAAAGCTACCAAGAGCACCATGCTTGAGATCACTGGGGGCTCTCTGTGCTGCCCTGCCCCTAAGCCTACATAAGGCTGATCCTCTGTGTGGTACTCAACTGTTTACATCTGTTCCTGTCTGTCCTCCCTCTGCCTCACAAGCTGTCAGCTTCAGAAGAGCAGGGTCTGGCTTTCTTATCTCCTGTTACGTCCCTGCAGCACGGCCCCTTGCTTCTAAGTGGCTATTGGGAAATTCTTATGACTGGGAGAATGACTACACTGGGAAACATCTCTAAATGCCTTGCAAGGACATTCTCAACTCTGGCCTAGAGTCCCCTGGGGGTCTTTTGCAAACCTCAGATGCCAGGGGCCACCTTAGCTCTGTTATTAATCTGGATTTCTGAGAGTGGAACTTGCTGGTATCCTTTTAAATCTCCCCTGATGATTCTAAGATGCAGTGCAGGCTGACAGCCCCTGGTTCAATCTGCATACCCCCAACACTTGGGCTGGGGCCCAGGTAAGCCCAGAAGAAGCAGGCATCAGGACCCCTACTTCCTCACTATCTGCAACCTTGACCCTGGCTAGGAGCTTAAAGGCAGGCATCCAAGTGTCCAGGTCAGGGGCCAGCCAGCTAAGACGACTGCTTCAGTCCCTGGGATACTGACAGTGTAGTGACCAAACCCTCCACTCGCTTCAGTTTGAGGAGATCCATGAGGTGATCGGGCGCTACAAGACTCTGGTGAGCATGCACCAGGACCTCATGCAGTCGGCGCAGGAAGGCCAGGAGAAGATCGAGCGCGCCAAGGCGCGGCTGGCGCGGTACATGGAGGAGAAGGACGATGAGATCCTCCAGCACAACAATGAGCTGGCGAGGCTGCAGATGCGCTTCGACCGCGCCCGCAGTGATGTTATCGTCTGGGTGAGCGTCCTGGGCCGCAAGGACTTGGGTCCAAGGCTCTGGGTGTGTGGGCCGCAGCCCCCGGGGTGTACACACACAGTGAGCTCGCATATTCTTTCCTCAGGAATCTCGCTGGGCACACATCCAGAACACTGCGGCCAAGAAGACCCTCCTGCTGGGCACCATCAAGATGGCAACGCTGAACCTCTTCCAGATCGTGAGCAAGCAGCTAAAGGAGGCCTCCCAGGTGTCGGTAGAGGACACTCACAAACAACTGGACATGGTAGGCAGATGTGGGGGCGGGGCCAAGCGCAGAAGGGCAAGGAGGTCTGGGACTGGTCAAGTGAGAAAATAAGTTGGCGCAGAGCTGGGCTTTCACCTCTGAACGGCTTCAGCGTCACCAGGAGCAGGCACAAGGCCTGTGGGTGGGCCCACCGCCCAGCCTGTGACTCAGTCTGAAGTGAGAATCCATGAATTTGTGTTCCCCGGTGATGCTGCTAGGTGGGGTGCCGCAGTTTGAGAACAACTTCATTAATGCTGGAATTCCCAAACTATAGGGCAAGAGCAGGAACCCAATGTTAATTAGTTGTGCAGAACCAAGTCTTATTGCATTCTGGTCAGATCCTGGGACTTGCTAAAGGCTTGTGTTTGAAGCCTACACTTTGTTTTTTAAAAAGGAAAATTGGCAAATTTAGAGAAATGTTAAAATTGTGTTAGCACCAATCTGGAACATTCTTTGAATCAGTGGAAAGAAAATTGAAAGGAAGTTAGAAGTTTCACTGTATGACTCAATTATTTAACATCATGTATGTCACTGTGCCACCCAATGTCATGACTAAAGTTACACACATTGTACTTTTTGGAAAACTCGGCACTGGGAAATGTGTGAGTGGAGTGTCCTCAGACATGCAAAGAACTGTGACTAAATAATTATTTGTTCCTTTGGCAAACTCCTTTAGTTCTACTATGAAATATCAGAAAGCTCCTGAGATTTTGGGGTTTTTGCTCTCAGATCTCTCCCTCAGTGTCTAGAACAATCCCTGGCACATAGTAGACACAAAAGAAGGATTTGGTAAATAGATACGAAACACAGGCCCACAAGCAATTGAGTGAGAGGCAGTAGCCTTTTTTAAAAAAAGAAGAAAAGCAAACCTTATGAAATATAAAAGATTTTACCCACTGACCACCTATAAAGGATCTCCATAAAACAACCTCCATCTTAAGGCATGTTAGAGCAGAATTATTTTGCTATCCAAAGAAGGGAATTGATAAGAAAATTTGTTCTAAGAACAGAAGTTCTCAGGCCTTCTGGTATCAGTCTATTGTCTTGCTCTGAAAGTTTTCCAGTGGCCAATCAGAGTCATTCCTGTTGAGCTTTTCATATCTATTGAGTAGATTTGGATATGGTGGTGCAGGCCATACCCAGCACTCTGAAGGTTGAGGCAGGAGGATCCTAAGGGCAGGCCCCTCCGCCCCCAGTCAATTTAGTGACTTAATAAGATGCTGTCTCAAAATTTAAAAATTTCAAAAAGGGCTAGGCGGAGCTGGGATACAGCTCAGTGGCACAGGCGCCTGCCTGCCAAGCACAAGATCCTGAGTTCAATTCCCAGTACCAAAAAGTAAATAAATAAAAAGGGCTAGGCATATAGCTCGGCACAAGGACCCTGGTTCAATCCCCATTACTACACACACACACACACACACACACACACACACACACACTGAAAAAGCCTACTGAAGTCTTAGTATTATTGTTGAAATAGTTTTGACTGTATCTACCCCATCCTCTACTGGAGGGGCTCAAGCCTCCTGCCTTTAGCTGGTTTGGAGAACAGTGCTTAAGAAGGAGGGGGCCTGCAGCTTCCTGCCCCCTAGTCAGATCAGAGCTTCTAATCCATCCACTTCAGATTTTGAGCTTTTGAAATGCTTGATGATTCTCTGAATTTGGATTCAGAAAACCTCAGCCTTGATTTGTCTTTACAGGAGAACTCCGAATTGCCCAAGAGTGATCTTAAAATATCTCACTTCATTCCCATAGGATATGAGCCGACTGACAGAAATACACAAGACCAAGTAGCCTAAAAAAAGTAGGAATCTGGAGATAAATTCAAATCAGAGGTCAAAGCTAGAGAGATAAATGCAACTATTGTGGCTTCCTAGATTATTAGTACCTATACCAGGAATAAGAGTGACTCTGAACATAGAGGTTTTGTACCAAAATAGGAACATACAAGGTTTCCTGAAAGGGAACATACCTTTCCCAGACACCTAGTACGAAGTGGGTTCTTTCTCAGTGAGACTTGGGAGACACTCCGTGAATAATGTTCTCAACTGCAGCCCGTAGGCAGGCCTTACACAGGACAAAGCCTTACACAGGACAAAGCCTTACACAGGACTAAGAACAGGGGACACGGAACAGCTCAGGAAGAGGCCCAGGCCATCTGAATCCAGTGTGAGGGGCCTAGAAAATAAGCAACTCCCAGTGGCATTTTCTAAACTGCTTAGCCAGTCCTACAAACTCAAGATACTCTTTCCTATGGGGATGAAAGAGCCCCACAGACTTAATATATCTAGAAAAAGTGTAATTTAAAGTTTGGATTGGGGGGGGCAGGAAGATGGCTCAGTAGAATAAGTGCTTGCCTGCAAGCACAAGGGCCTGAGTTCAATCCCCGGTTCCATCAAAAAAAAATACATAAGTAAAAAAAGTTTGGGTTTTAAATGTACAGGATTTGAAATCTTGATTACAGATCTGCCCGTAGAGACTCTCCAACAGATGATATTTCTAAAGTTTACTTGGCCATGCAGCTCTTTCTGGACTATGTGGCCACTTGTTATAAGAGCACATTTTGGAAAATACTGAATTTGTCTTCTCTCTAATATTTGGAAAGTTTCTTTAATTCATTGGCTCTGTATTTCTTCATTTGCAAAATAGGAATCCAGTCAGTAATAGTAACTATATCTGTAGCTGACAGGGCTGTTGAGAGATTTGGACAAAGTCTGTATGGTGCTCTGTACTGAGATGGTTGGAAAAAAAAAAAAGTTTTAGAACTGAGATCCTAGTGGTGATCAGGGCCAACCTTACCCTTAATTTAAAAAATATATATTTATTTAGTTAGTTATCATGTGCTGGAGATTGGAGCCAGGCCCTCCTGCACGCTAAGCAGATGCTTTCCCTAAGCTACACTCCTGCCCACCTCTTCCCTTGGTAAAGATGCAGCAACTGCCCTGGAGGTGTGGAGTAGTAGTAGAGCTGCCTTCAAGCCCCAGAATCAAAAAAGGAAGGAAGAGGAAGATGAGAAGAGGAGGAGGAAGAGGAGGGGTGTGAGCAGGAAACCAAGTCCCAAAAAGATGAAGTGATTTCCCCAGAGTTGCCGTATCAGGAGCTCCCGGGGTCCCTCCAGAGGCAGCCTGCGATGCCCACTGGAAGCTCTGCAAACAGAAGCTAGTGCATAGATTCAAGATTATCATAATGAGTATCAGTTGGGTCTGGGTTCTAGGTGCACCTTGAGGGTGGCCCTACCGAGATTGGCTCTGTCTGCTAAATGCTTTATTCCATATCCCATCTGTAATGCTCTTTCCTGTTCTTTGGGTGGGACTGCAGCCCATTCTTAGTGCTATCACTGTGTCTGCCTCTAAAAGGGGTTAACCCATTCCTATGTATGTCTTTAAATCTGCCAAACTGGATGCTGCATTTCACCTAAGAAAACCCTCAAATGAGGCAACATGGCCGACGCAAGAAGTCAGTCTCAGGATAGCAGTAAACTCCTTCCTACGAGATGATCCATCTAGGGATGGGGAGGCCTCAGGCTGCATAGGGTTAACTCTGTCTCTCTCTTGTCAGATCCAGCAATTTATCCAGGATCTATCAGACATCTGGACAGAGGTAAAGAAGAAGGACCAACCGCAAGTCCGGGTGTGAGGCGGCAGCACACTTCCAGAATATTCTTAACAGACGCTGCGAGAGAGAGAGTTCGTGGTGAGCTTACAGTCCAGTCAGCCCAGGTCAGCAGAAGAAGACCTTGTCTGGCTTTCTACTGGAAAACATTTTGTTGTGTTCCCCTCAGCCTCAGTCTATCCCAGCCTTGAGGACATTAAATGGTATGAGAAGTTTGTTCTGAAGCTATCTTTCTTTTTTTGGTAGTTTGCGCATAGAGAAAAGAGTCAGTGAGGAGCCAGTGTGGTGGTAATCCCAGTACTTGGGAGGCTAAGGCGTGAGGACTTCTGTGAGCTTGAGGCGAGCCTGAACTACATAGTGAGATCTTGTCTCAAAAAAATAAGAGTCAATGAAGGGAGAGCCCCATGAGCCCACACCCTACACAGAGCTCCCCTGGAGCTAGAGACCACAAGATAGGTCTGGTGGCTCCTGGACTTTAGACTTAAACATAGTAAGTGTTTGGGTGGGTGAAGGTCCAGCAGGGTAAGTACAGGGAGCCCCTCTTCTCCTCTGTCACTTCAAGGATCAGCACCACCCCTCAAAGTTGGTGCTTTCAATTAGGGAATGAAGACAGTAGAAGCTATGAGGGCTGTTTTCCAAGCTGGAGTTGCAGAGGTGCTGAGTAGAAGACTCTTCCCTGGCCTCAGGAGCAGCCCTGCTTCCTTACCCCTTCTGTACCCTAAAATGGGCAACCCAGTGTCAGGAATGGTAGTACAGGAACAGCCAGACGCTTGCTTGGGAGCTAGTGAGGGACCCCTAAAGTGCCAAAGGACAACTGTGGCAGGCTACAATGATGACTGAAACCAGCAAAATTAAGCCAAATCAAGGTAAATGTAAAGTTTAGGACTTAGGTTTGAAAATTGCACATCTCTTAAATTATCAATGGGAAAAAAAAAGTCTAGGGCTGATGAGATAGCTCAGTTGTCTAAGCACCTGCCTGGAAAGCACAAGGACCCAGGTTCAATCCCTGGTACCACAGGCCACGCCACGCTGGCCACAGAAACTGGGCATGGTAGCACATGCCTGTAATCCCAGTGCTGGGAAGGGGATCACTAGGAGTCTGAGCTGCGTAGCAAGACCCTGTACCAAATTAATTAGTTAATTAATTAAAAAAGATAAACCATATGATATTTAAGCTTGTGTGTCTGGTTTACTTCACTTAACATTGTGGTTTCGAGGTACATTTCTACAAATGATTCAAGTTTATTCTTTATGGCAACATAGTGCGCCATACCTTCCTTATCCACTCATCACTGAGATTCCATCTTACTCCAGAAGGAATAGTTATCATTAAGAAATCAAATAGCTGGGGCTGGGGAGATGGCTCAGTAGGATAAGCGCTTGCCTGGCAAATGCAAGGGCCTGAGTACAATCCCAGGTTCCAAAAAAAAAAAAAGACATCAAATAGCAAAAGCTGGCAAGGCTGTGGGGGAAAAACTGTTGGTGGGAATGTAAACTAGTATAACCACTAGGGAAGTTACAGAGGTTCCTCAGAAACCTAAATCTAGAAATTGCATTTGACCCAGTTATTCCCCTTCTAGGTATCTTTCTGAAAGAGCGAAAGGCATTGTCTTAGAGAAATGCCTGCATACCCGTGTTTATAGCAGCACAACTCATAATAGCTAAACCTGAAAGCAGCGTTTGTTGATCACATAGTACATACACGTCAGCCTCATGGAAGCCCTAGAGCCACTGTCATCCCTGTATGGCAGGGCAGGACTTTTGTCCAGGGTGCTGGCTAAAGGACAAAAAGGTTAGAATTCACATAGGTCTGCCTGCCCCAGGCTGGGCTGCACTTTTTTCTCCCTCTGAGTCTGGTTGAAAAACCCCCTTCAAGGATTTTGTTTCTTCTGTGGCTCTGAGATCCTTCGGGGCCTTCATACTGCCTGGATTTCTGGTTCCTACATGAAGGGTCCTGGGCAGGCAGCTGTAATCCCCATTCCGGTACATAACATCTTCCTGCAGAGGTACTCAGAGGGACAGGAGCAGTGTAGGTCACCCAGGAATTCAGGTGCACACATTCTCGGGCTCCACCCAGACTCAGGGTGCAACCCAGAAGTTCCCGCCCACAGGACTGTGCTGTGGGCTCTGGCTGGGGAAGGACAACCTCTTTCCAGCAACAGCTTTCCAGCGCCTGAGCTCTGTTCACTCCCCATTGTGCAAGAGAATGCATATGGAGCCCCGTACTTGGCAGCCCTCCGTGGGAGGTGCCCTCCGTCATGAGGGTACCTAGGTTGCCTCCTCCATCCAAATTGCTGGGGACCAGAAGTGGCCTGGATTTGGGAATATTTGCATATACATAGTGAGATAGCTTGGGTATGGAACCCAATTCTTTTTTTTTTTTTTTAATGTATTCAATACAGGGTCTACAGGGTCTCACTACACAGATCAGACTCATAGTGATTCTCCTGTTTTTAGCCTCCCAAGTGCTGAGATTATAGGCACACACCACCACGCCCAATCTCAGTCACTGTTTCAGCACTGGGGGCGGGGCCAGCACAACAGGCGAGGGATCAAAACCCAGACCGTACACCTGCCTAAGCAGGCACTTTAGTCCGCTGAATTATCTGGCTGGCCCTGAAACCCAATTCTGAACACAAATTCATTTATACTTAGCTATTCCTTGTACACATGCCCTGAAGATAATTTTATATGATATTTGTAGTCAGTTTGGCTGGTGTTTCATCCCATGAGGATAGGTGTGGCATTTTCCACTTGTGGTGGGTTGTGGGCACTCAAAAGATTTTGGATTTTGGAGCATTTTTGATTGTGGGTTTTCACATTAGGCATGTTCAATCTATGCAGGTATAAATATAAAGATTTGGGTGGAGGTACATGAATAGTGTGGGTATGTCTAATTGTAGATGGCTTTGTTAGAGGGCTTTGACCTTCAGCAGACTATAACACTGCTGTCTTCTGGTCTGATGCTGGAGCTTGAAGTTCCCCAAGGAGGTAGTTGGGGAAGGAAGCAGGATTCTTACCTGGATGTGATCGTGCATGCCTATAATCCCTAGTCTCTGAGAGGCTAAGGCAGGAAGATCCCAAGTTTGAGTCCAACCTGAGCAACATAGTGATTTAGTGGGATCTTGTCTCAAAACAAAAAATAAAAGATAGGGAGCGGTGACAGGGATGTAGCTCGGTGTGAAGGCGCTACATCCAGTCCCTGGTACTGGGAGGTGGGGGAGGAGGAGAGGGAGAGAGAGGAAGAAGACAGACTCCTTCCTTTTGGAGCTGAACACTCTGACAGGAGCATGAGAGAAGATGGTGTAGTTGCAGACCCAGCTGTGCTACATGCCATCAGGGTGGTTTGGCGAGCCACCACATGCGTGTGCTACACTGCGTGACTGTGATTCCCTTCTGCCCCCAAGCCCTCCACTGAGTGCCCCAGGACTTACCCTCCTAGGAACGTGCAGGCAAAGGAATTCTGGGGAGTGTGGCTCGGCCTAGTGCAGCTGATGCGTCACAGCACCACAGTGTCTCTGGGGCACAGTTCAGAGGCACAGGCTCTGCTTTAAAGAAAGGTCTGGTGGCAGCAGGGAGCCATGACCTGGCCTGGTCCAGATGGGCTGTCTACAGTGGGGTGGCTGGCAGAGGTCACCTCCCAAACTCAGGATGGACGAGTTCCACAGTGACATTCAGAGAAGCCAGGGACCCCCACTTACAGGCCTGAAGGGAAAGGATGTACCTCTGAAGTGGCTTCTCAAAAGGAAACCTTCTCCACTGTTGGTGACAGTGTAAACTGGTGCAACCACGGTGGAAATCAGGGTGAAGATTCCACAAAAGAAGATTTAGTGAAGATTCCACTAAAACTAGAGGTTCCATTTGGCCCAGATATTCCCCTTCTTCACATCTTCCAGAAAGAATTGAAAGCACCATACCACAGCGATGTATGCACATCCATGTTTAAAGCAGCACAATTTGTAATTTCTAAATCTTGGAAATAGCCCAAATGCCCATCAAGTGGTAAATGGATAAAGATGTGGGTATTTTTATATATAATAGAGTACTACTCTGCCCCAAAGAAGGATATGCTTGAGACATTTCTAGCTAAATGAATGCATCTAAAGATTAATTTTTTTTTTTTTTTTGGTGGAACTGGGGATTGAACTCAGGCCCTGTGCTTGCCAGGGAAGCGCTTATGCCACTGAGCTGTCTCCCCGGCCCCTAAAGATCAATTTTTTAAGTGAAATAAATCAGACACATGTTTAAATGACACATGTTTAAATGCCCCCAAGCCCTCCACTGAGTGCCCAGGGACTCACCCTCCTAGGAACGTGCAGGCAAAGGAATTCTGGGGAGTGTGACTCCCAGAAGGAATTATAAGGTATACCTAAAATGTACCAATAAAAATGCAAAAAAAAAAATAAAATAAAATAGCCTCCTCTAACCGTTGAGCTCCAAGACTGGACCCTGGGAGGCCAGAGAGGGTGAAACCCAGACAGTCCCTTCTACTCCCTGATACAAACCACCACCAGCCTCCTGCTGGCCTTGTGAGGTGTTCGAGGAGCCCAGTCAGTGAGGACAGAATACTCTTCCTGGCAGGCCCAGGCCCTTCAGCCCCAGCCAAGGACCTGTGTCAAGAGCCAGAGCCCACCCCACCCCTCTAGTCCCCCGTCCCTGACTCCAACACCCTGCAGCCACCGTTTCTTGCTGCCTGCAGTGGGGATCAGGACAGGTCACACTTGGAATCCTTGTGATCACGCACAAGCTCATCTTAACACACACACACACACACACACACATTTGCACATATGTGTATGATTCATTCTGATCTTCTTGCTTTGTTCAGGTTCAGAAAAAAAAAAAAAAAAACCCTGGGGCAGAAGAAATTCTGTGGGTAGGCAAATTTCTTGAGTCTAGCAAAGCCACAAATCTACAAACTCATTCCTAAAGCTACAGAAAGGAGGAGAGCAAATCCAGATCATTGCAGAGATTCTTGGGGGCCAAGCAGAGGGTTCCCACGGAGGGGGCTTAGGGCAGCATCCCAGACGTCCTCCCTCCTTAGCCTGGTCTCAGTCCCACAGCAGAGCTATCCTGGCCCTTGTGCCCACAAAAGGAAGCTCAGATCCGCCCAACTGAAAGAGATTTGGGCTCCCAGATGCATAGGATCTCTCCAAGAACACAGAGGTAAAGCTAAGGGGCTGACTGGAGCTTTCTCAGCAAGAAAAGACATAGTTCATCAAAGCTGAAATAACTGATTGGTTCCAGAAATGAATGGTTCTCATCAGCAAAGCAGGAAGTAGCAGAACTCTGGCCCTTTTATGGATAAAGAGAAGGAAGAGGGGAAAGCCTTCCTGCGGCTCTGTCTCAGGAGTGCAAGAGCATGCCACCTCCCACCAAAGCGTGGTACTTTTGCTAGGGATAGAGCTCAGCAGCACAAGTGCCTGCCTGGCAAGTGCAAGGTCCTAAGTTGGAGTCCCAGTACAAAAAAAAAAAAAAAAGATAGTTTTTCCTGAGTGGAAGGAATACAGGAAAGAAGGCCAAAGGGACAGAGAGAGGAAGGTGGACAGACATCCCCATGCCTGTTGCATATGTCATGCTGTACACTCAGTCACTGGAGAGGGCAGAGAAAGCACCAAGAGCTGGAAGCCATTCAGGGTGAACCCTGTCTCTGGTGTAGCCGCAGAGCTCCTTTTTTGCAGGATTCACAATTGGCGCTTAGGGTCAGCCCCTTTCTCAGGTGACTGTTGCCTTCAAAGACCTTTCCCCGCCTCAGCCTAGAGGCTGCAGTCCCATACCTTGTGAACTAGGCTTTCGGTCAGCTGGAAACTTCCAGTTCTCATTTGGAGCCTTCGTAGGGCTAATTGTGCAGGTAACTGAGGCTGCTCCTGTTCTCAGACTTTCAGTCCCAGCCGGAGGGGTGCACAGCAGAGTCCCACCAGATGCCTGCTCGCAGCCCAGGGGAGAGGCAACTCTGGGCAAGTGTCACCTTCTACCTCTTTGCCAGAATGAGACCTTAAGGGTCCCCTCTACTTTAACTTGAAACTCAAGGGAGCAGGGCCCCCTGTGGACGTGGGGTCAGGAGTAAGAGACCAGCTTAGAGGCACCCGGAGTGTGACTTCATCTTCATGGGAGTGGAGATGGGAAAAGTTGGCATGTTAGGGATTTTATGAGGAAAAGAGCTGATCCAGAAATCTCTAGCAGAGTGACAGCCAGCTGCCCCGCAACGTGAAACCAACGGTGTGAGTGTTGGAGTCTGGGTAATAAATGACTACAAACTTGGAGTCCTAAGCCAACACCCACTCAGCTATGCACAGGAGTAGGTCAAAAGTTATTGTCGCTGCGTTAGGTTCTGGCTCAGAGACTCACAAGGCTGAAAGAAAGGAGACTGACCCGGCTGGCTGGGTTCTCATCTGGGGGCTCAGGGGCAGGTTTCAGTGTTTTAAAGCTCGTTCAGGGGGCTGGGGAGATGGCTCAGTGGAATAAGCGCTTCCTTGGCAAGCACAAGGGCCTGAGTTCAATCCCCGGTTCTGGAAAAAAAAAAAAAAAAAAAAAAAAAGCTCGTTCAGGTTGCTGCTATAATGTAGTTCCTACAGCTGTGGGTGTGAGGTCTCTGGCTGGCTGACTATCAGCCAGGGGCCCTCTGCTCCTACAGGCCAGCTGCATTCCTGGCTGCACAGTCCCCTCCGTCTTCAAAGGCAGCTGAAGTACACAGAGTTCCCGTTGGGCTTTGAGTCAGACTCTTCCAATACCAGGCAGAGAAACACTGCCTTGAAGGGCTCGTGTGAGTAAATCAGACCACTCTACACACTCCCTTTTGCCATACATTGAGGAGGAACATCAGGCAGAGAAAGACACAGAGGCCATCCTCAAACTGTTCCTAACCACCCTGACCAAGAAAAATGGTGGCAACAGCTGGAGAGAGCAGAGACGAAGGGGTGGGGAGGGACCGTGACAAGATGGTTAAAGACCAAGATGCGGCATGGAGGGAGAGAAATATTCTGTATGAGCACCTGACTGGACATGTACTGATAACTGTCTCCACAGGAAGGTTCACCTGTTGCTTGCAGAGCTCTAAGGTGTCCTCAAATGGACTTTGGTCAGTCTGGGGCTCTCTGGATGTTTTCTGTGACAGTTTTATATATATACACACATGCATGGGCTTTGTAGGACAGAGGCAGGTTGGGGGCGGGGGTGCAGCAAAATTCATCACATTTAGCAAAATTCTCCCAGGAATTTTAACCCAGGGCCAGAGCTACTGTGTTTTGTTGTTGTTGTTGCTCCTGTTGTTGTTGTTTTAAGTAAGAACTGTATTGAGTCACAATTCAGGTACCATAAAGTTCTTTCATTTAATCTATGCAGTTTGGACTGGGCATGGTAGCACATGCCTATAATTCCAGCACTCGGGAGGCTGAGGCAGGAAGATTGGATCGCTGTGATTAAGAGGTTGACCTGGACTACAAAGTGAATTCAAGGCCAGCCTGAACTACATAGTGAAACCTTGTCTCAAAAAGGCCAAAAGAAAAAAAAAATTGAAAAGGGGGCCAGGAGATGGCTCAGTGGAATAAGTGCTTGCCTGGCAAGCGCAAGGGCCTGAGTTCAATCCCCGGTTCC